ATGTCTTTCCTTTCTTCTTTTTTGGCTACTTTTACATCTTTACCTTTTCTCCAAATTTCATCCTTGAAAAAGCACAAATACGAAGTCTGGAGGTATACTGTTGCCTATGTTAGCTCATGAGTCACTATCAATCAAGGTCAAGATTCTCTGAGATTTTCTTGTTTCTTCTTGTACTCATTGCCTCGTGTTACAAAATGGGCTGCAGTAATTCTAGGCATCATGCCATAGGATAGAGAAAGAAAAAAGAAAGAGAGAGAGAGAGAGAGAGAGAGAGGAAGCAAAGGCTGATCATCTATTTCATTTGAATCTGACCCATTCGATGGAAAAGGCTTTTGAAAAGCCTGATCCTACAGGTTTTGCCTAATATCTAGTTGCCCAGGTCCCTAATGGATACATGGATGCCTCTACCTAGAAGGTGATATAGAGGAAAGGAGTGTGGATGGGAGTCAAGTTTGGTCAAGCAAAAGATCTATCAAGCAGTCCATCTGAAAAACTTTGCTGAAGAATCAGGTTTATAAAGAAAGTCTTTGGAAGATTCCTTCCATATTGACTGACTAAATTTAGGTACTACTGAAATGTAAGCAGTTTTGGAAATCAAGATTTTAGGAAACTACAAATACTTTGAATGGTTTCCATTTTTATAATTAATGGTAATTTCATTCATTCTATGGGATAAATTTAATTACTACCTCATTTTATAGACAAAGAAACTAGAATACAGACAGGTGAAGTAATTAGTCTAAGGTCACAGAGCTAGGAAAGGCAGGTTTCTCTGTCCTTTACTTTGCCCTTGAGCATGAGCGTGTGCAGTAAAACTTACTAGAATATGACATGTTTACATACACACCAAAAATTGGTGGACAAGAGGGGTTAACCCCTCTTGGGATTAGCTGTTGGACACATTTCAAGAGTAAATGAGCATTGTACAAAGATTTCTGGGGTGGCTGAAAGGCCTTTTTATTCATTCTCTCACTTAAGAACGAGCACCTGCTAGATTCCATCCTACGCTGAAGATACAGATGAAAAGACAGGTTCCTTTGTGGATGAGGTCATTGGCTAGATATGTAAATGAGCAAGTGTTCATGTAGAGGGTGACATGCTGTGAGAAAGGGACGTACAAGATCTCATGTGAGACCCTGGAGGTTTTTTCACCCTGGTCTTCAGAAAATGAAGCCTGGGGTGAAGATTAAGGAGAAACAGATTGTATGGGATATACAAATCCAGAGGTTAAGGGTGAGGGGGAAAGAGAAGTGAATGCAATGCTGTACTGCACTGGCCAGAGCCTCTGAAAGCCATCACAGACTGGGATCAGCAAATATGACCACCAAAGTTGTCCACATCCTAGTCTTCAGAAACTGTGAATATATAACTTTACATAGTGAATAGATTTTGCACATGTGGCTAAGGTAAGTGTCTTGAGATGGGAAGATTGTCATAGATTAGCCAGATGTGCCCAAAGGCATCACAAGTGTTCCTATAAGAGGGAGGCAGGAGGGTCAGAATCAGTTAAAGAAATGCGATAACAAAAGCAAATGGATGGAACCATGTAAGGAAGAGGCCCTCAGTCAAAGAATGCAGGCAGCCTCTAGAAGCAATGAAGGCAAAGAGTTTCCAAAAGCTCTGCTGGTTCACTTTATGTATCTGTCCTCCACAACTATAAGAGAATAAATTTGTCTTGCTTTAAGCCACTAAGTGTGTTGTAATTTGTAATGCAGCAGTAGGACTCTGATAAAAGATCTCTTAGCAGGGTTGTTCACTGGGAACCCAAGATTTTTCTAGGAAGACTATGGCAGGGAGCTCATGGAGGAGGAAAAAGCATGCATTTATTACTCTGGTCACCTCGAAATGTCTAGTGCTTCCCATTTGTCATTTCACAGTGAGCTTACTCCTCCCTCCTCCAAATTTCACCTTCTAGTCCCTGGAAGCCTCTCAGGAATCTGCTTCCCATGACCCATAGTACGTTCGGCACATCAAGAAGTAGAAGAATAATCAGTGTGGGTGAGGGGCTGACTAGAGGAGAAAACAAAGGAGAAGTAGTGAAGGATATCTGGAAAGTGCCAAAGTTATATCCAATTCCAAGGGTGATTAGCTCTCCTTAGGGAGAAAGTCATCCAAATGCTTATCTAGCGCTTTCTGTACACCAGGTGTCATCTTCAGGGGGCAAGTTCTGTCTTCACCTATCATCCAATTTCTAGTTCTTTGGGTAAACATATTTTCTTAGGAAACTACATTTCTAAACCCCAGCCATGTCCTGCAGTGGGTTGAATTCAGGAGTGGGCACTTATTTCAGGAAACATGGCCTAGACTTAGAGCATAAAATCCCCTCATACCCTATTGGCCAGCACAGGCACAGTCCCCAGTCTGGCCAATCAGAACTTTGTATATCTCTGGCCACAGGGATTGGCATAGGGTAGATCACCAAACCCAGTCAATTCAGTGGGCCTCAGTTCTGAAACATGTTAGAACTATTAGGAAATATTTTTATCCTTCTTGTCTTGAAATTTCCTGGGCCACCACATGGAAAGGGCTTACCTGAGTATGAAGCCAGTATGCAGGGGAGAAAAGGAGAAACCCAAAGCTTTCAGCCTTCTGAACCCAGCAGAACTTGAATAAGAATAAACTTTATATTTACATGATGGAATACACTTCCTTTTGTAACTTAAGTCAGCTTCAGGGGTATTTCTCCTTTGAAAGAGTCCCAATATGGTGCTTTCTCAGAGATACATCTTAACTCACTGCCAACAGAGATCCTTTTTGTTAGGGATTTAGATACTGCAGAGACAAGTAGAAAAGAAAGCCAGTGACAAGTCTGAGACAGTGGTCCAGACTTCTGGAAAGACTTACAAGTCCTCCCAGAGTTTCTTGATGCAGTATCCTCTGCATCTGCACCCCTCCCTAACAGTCCTGAGTGCCCTCAACAGATGCCCTTGGGAAGTTGTTATTTGCTCAGCCACACCACCAAGCAGCATAAAATCCATTTCTTGGGGTGTGAACAACTTGACTGAAGATTGGAGGGATGTCTGACCTGTCTGAACTGGCTGGCCTCCCGTGCTGTGATGCCAGTGATTACATGTGACCGATTCCAGCCCCTGGGAAATGGGGAATTGCTGCCAATTGTCAAGGATAGGTCTGGCCCAGGCTGACTCCAACCTACATACAGCTGCAGCATAAAAGCATAGGATAGCCCCTGTTCTAAACCAAGATGCACCTATTAGCAATGAAGAAAAGACCATTTCCAGGGCAGTAATTGCATAATATACGAATGTAACAAAAGGGAGACTCCCAAGCTCTATTACTTTGAAAGGTCTGCCAATGTTTTCATTACAGTCCATTTTCTGCAGTTATTTGTCTTCATCCGTGATGCTGATCTGGCAGCTGGGCTCAGAACCCCTGGTGCAGCCCAGGAAAACTGTGCAGAGTTTAATGTCATTGGAATTTTTTGGCTACCATCATGTTGAGGATTTCCAAACTGTGAATTAGATCCAAGTTTGGGTTTTATGGTGTTTTGTGGCAGTTATTATTCTGAACATCCTCAGTATTATAACTGAAAATCGTGCTTCTTTGATATGTTGAACAATCTGAGACCAGGAACAAAGGGAAGACAGTCTTTTTTCACATTCTTCAAAGGGACATTTTTTGGGGGCAAAGGGATAATTTATAGTTTAGATCTATGAATAAAGTGTATGCTTCTTTTCAAGTAAAAAAAAATGACACACAAGCTCAGATACTGACTTAAAAGTTATCTGCTAGCTTCTCTTCCTCCATGGTCCTCACATGATCCCAGTTCCCAGTCACGGGGGCAGGTTCTATGTCCTCCTGAGGAAAGTGGGTTGGGGTCTGCAACACCCCCCACCATGCCCAACACAGGTCATCTGTTTCCCTGGAAAGTGGAAAGAGAGGCCCAGATCCTATAACTTGACACAGGAAAGCTAAGTCCAAAAGGAAACTGTAAGAACAGCTACCACATTGGCCAGTGCCCAAACTGGAGGCTGATATCCAATGCATATCAGGATTCCAGTTCAGACACAAGGACCAATCCCGAACCCAGCATCCGTCTCTGGATTCAGATGAGGAGGGGTGGAAGGTGGGAAATGAACCTGCGAAAGTTCCCTGGGTATTTCTTTTCATGGCCCTCCTGAGCACTAAGAGCAGAAGACCTATGAGGCTAGTTCACAGGCTGTCTCCTTTAAGTCAAAGACCTGTCCATATGCCCTAGAGGTCCCACATCACTGACTTTACCCTCATCATACCCAACATCCATCACCATTGATCCTTTCATCATCAACCTCATCGATAGCATTTGTGGCAGACTGCACCAAGGTGGGCCTAGACTGTGTGCTTCTGGAAAAGCTCCCAGCCCATCCTCATGGCAAGCTCCTGCACACGGACTGTGGTCATCCCCACTGACCACTGAAAAGACTGAAGAACGAAAGGGAAAAGCAACATGGCCAAGGCTACCAAGTAGGAAAGCCAGGCAGTCTGTCCTGGACCACCATAGGATACTCCCCAGCAGCTACCCAGTCAGAGGCTGGGCTCCCAAGTCAGAGGTGCACTTGTACATTCAGAGTTGTGCTTGTTCCCTCTCTTTGCTCTGAAGACTTGCACTTGCCCAGCTTTGAATCGGGCTCCTGGCTCCATTTCAGAATTGGTTACTGGGGTCTGCTCTAATCTTCCTCTCCTGTGAATCATAATGCTTTGATTTTATATTTATGACCAACTATTTAAAGTACTTCTTGAGTGTCTGACCACAGCTCAGTTCTCCATTATTGCGATAATCATGTCTCTTTGTATTCAGAAAGCAGCACAGACTAGGAAATGCAAGCCTGCTTTTTGGTTGAGCAGTTGTGTTTTGGGGGTGTTTCTCCCCTGCTATAAATGTGTTACACTGAAACATATTTCTATCCATCTGCAGTCACGCCATATTGCAGGTAACTGTGAACAAAACAAGCAATAAAACTGCAAAGGGACTGCTGCTTTGTCATACAAGTCCACTCAGTTACCTGTGCTGACGGTGTGGGCTTCTCTTCAAGGATCTTCATGACTTGCTGGGCACCACTTGTAACCTGGAGACACACAGGAAAGCCAAAAAGAGGTAAGAAAAAGCTGCTGAGAGGTGCTTTTCAAAGTGTCAAGGTCTGAGGAGCAGAGCCATAACACAGCTTTCTCCTCTGACATAGCCTCTGAATGATCCCCATTTTAAGGATGTGCATCTTGCAGAATGAATGATGAACACCACTCTGTCCAGTATAGTGGACATTTGTTAGGGTTGTCATTACTCTTCTTGTCTTTCCTTGTGATTCTGGAGGAGCTGTCAGTAGGCAAGGAGGCACCTCATCTCCTCACCCCCTTGGTGGTAGGGGTGTGGACTGCCAGAGACCTGGAAGTCTGGAAAGTGCCAATAGACTGACACTCTGCCCCTGCCACACAGGTTTCTAAGCTGCCAGGGTGCAAGTTTGGGCTGCTGAGGGCCATGATGTCTGTCTTCTCAGGGGACTGAGAGTTAAGAACCCTGATGTCTCTGCAGAAGCCCTGGGTCCAATCATGCCTGAAGGCAAAAGTGTATCTTTCTCCATTATGTGAGCCAATACAGGCTCTTTTAAAGATAAGTTATTTTTAACAGGTTCTACCATGTGGTATTGAAAGCATTTTATTACTTTTTCTATATCTCCCTCTCTGTTCTTCTCAGCACCCTCACACTTAACATGCACTAAAATAAATCAAGGATCTTGCTGTCCCAGTGCCCATGTGTCCTAACTTTGCTGTCTTTCCCCCGAATACCTTCATTTCCCACATTCCTAGCTTTCTTGCCTCTTTCCTTCAAGCCATCTGCTTGCTTTCGTTGCCTCCCCTTTGCTCTGGTCTGAATGGCTCTCCTCCAGATAAGACAATAGTTTCCTGTACCTGTCTTCCCTCCCCACTCCCTCATGCTGCTTCCTAAACAAGGCTAAGACTCATGCAAAAGATCAAAGTAGTCCCATGGAGTACTAAGGAGACCTCATTTGCCCTTCCTTGACCTCCAGCATAAGAATGTAATACACAAGTTAGGTGTGGTGTTGCACACCTGTCATCCCAGCACTGGGGAGGCTGAAGCATGAGAACTGCAGTGAGTTCAAGGTCTAGGATTCATAGTGAGTTCAAGGCCAGCCAGAACTACATAGTGAGACCCTGTCTCAAAAAAACAAAAAAATGCAATACACATAAGCATGAATTTTAGTGCTATATCAGAACCCAAATCTTACCTGTTTTTTGATATATATGAATTTACTTGGTGACATCCCTATAAGTTGTCATGCTCATGCTGGTCTCCTCCTGGATCTGATGGCCCTGGTATTAATTGTCTTGGAGCACTATGAGGACAAAAGTCCTTGAAGATCAATGACTTTCGGTGATCAAAGAACTCAAGGTTCTTTTGCTCTCCTTGGATAATGCACTTAGGATTTTAATCAACCTTAATGTGTGGATTTTATACATTATTCAAGACCTCCTCAAGGCCCACACAGATCCTCCTGTTGACAAACACCCTGGTAGGTGCATGTGTTGTCTCAGGCAGCCATGGGACCCTGTTGGTATGCGTGGCAGCAGCTCCCAAAAGAGCTGGAATCAACACCTATTTGTGCTCAAGCCAGATCTTTAGAAATTGGACATTTTCTGTTCTAAAGAAAATTCCCCAAGTTGCTCCCTGTGCTTGGCCATTAATATCAGGTTCAATGTAAATGTTGACTTTTACGGTGATCAAGAAGGACTTATATGAGGAAATAGCTCTGGGCAGTCATGAGGAAATGCCCCAAGGGGTTGGTGTGCCCACAGGTCTGTGAGACAGCAGCCCAGTGCAATAGAGGTTGAGTCACAGTACTAATTTCTGCCTGAGACAGTGGCATCCTAATGAGGTCTCACTGGCACCTGTCTCTCAAGCTCTTTCAGGCCCCTGGGCTTCAGGATGAGTTTGTCATCAGAAACGGGTGGGGAGTGCACGGGTTATTGTCTATCTATTAGGGACAAACTCAGCAAAGCACAAAGGCATAGGATTAGGTGTCCAGGCTCCAGCAGCTCCCAGAGGATTCAAACTCCACCCACCATTATCAGTACTGTCATAGAAAACTCACTTCACTCCCCCAGCCTGTTTCTTCACATGCAAAATAGAGATAATAGCTGCACCTGCCTCTTACTTTGGTTGGGGATCAAATGTGTATGTGTGCAAGGCACTTTGCTCTGCGGATGTTGTATAAGACATGCTCAATCAATGCAGATATGCCCAAGAAGCCTTACAGAACTGCCTCTGTTCATGTCCTCAGCCAGGAGTCATAATAGCAGCAATTTTAATACTTACAATAAGTTCTAGCAAGCACAGAACACGTGTCTCAGAAATAATGATAGGCTAAATCCAACAGCAGTGGTGATGAAACAGCTAATATGTATCAATCTAGTCCTTATGCTAAGCACTTTACAGCCTTGCTTCATCTAATGCTCCCCAAAACCTATGATGCCACAATATAGGTACTATTTCTCCATTTCCCACATGGAGAAAGGGAGACTCAGACAGGTGATGTATCGTGTACAACATCACAAAACATCAGGCCTGAATTTTAATCCAGGCCTATCTGGCACCAGAATCCATGAACCATACTACACAAGAGATGTACAGCATTTATTTAAATTCTGTGTTGTAATTCCCTCACTCTAAGAGGATAATGCTGGAGGATTGCAAGTTTCAGACCAGCCTGGGAAACAGTGACTTTATGAGAACCAGTCTTAAAATAAAAATTTTAAAAGGAGGGTTGGAGGATCTGGGGATATAGCTCAATGTGAAGGCCCTAGGTTCAATTCTCAGTATTCCCCTCCCCCCAGAAAAATCACTGTGTCCCAGCTTCAACTGATTCAGAGGTGATTGTAAGAATCAAATTGGGAATCACTTCTACAACAGATGCTTCAAACACAGAGAGATCTAGCTAGGGAGTTGAATAGTTTTTGCTGAACTCACCACCAAAATCCCTCCATGCACCCAAGGGAAGAAATTTGCAAAAGGTGTTGGGAGGAATCAACCCTGCAGAGGGGAAGAAAAAGGAGCCAGAAGAGCCACATCCTAGAGAAACAAGCGAGTGTTCAAGCCTCAAAGAGTGAGTTCTCTTACTGACCCAAAGGACTGGAACCATAATGCACATGGAGGTAATACTCTTAAGTGAAATAAATAGGACACACATGTGTAAATACCAAATAATTTCTCTAGTGTGAGAAACTGAAAGTGTAAATAAGGACTAAAAGGTATAATAGATAATGTGAAATAGGAAGAAAAGGGGCAAAGGAGAAGGGGAAGTGGGGTAGGGGAAGGGAAAGAAGGGAATGGAATTAATATGAGAAAATGAAAAAAAGGAACCAAAGTCTTTGTAAATAAGGAGGGAAGGAGGGGTTGAAGGGAGGCAAGGGAAGGGGGGAAAAATAAGAACCAAGAGAGATCATGTAAAGGTGCAAATTTCCAATGATAAATGCCATTATATTGTATACCTAAAATGTACCAATAAAATAAAATTTTTTTAAAAAGACTGGAACCATAGGTAGAATGTGTACCCACAGATGATTAGGAATACCTCTGTGTTTACGCTATCCTACATGGAAAAGGGAACTTTGCAGATGTGATTAAATCAAAGTATCTTGAGATAGGAAAACTTTTCTGGATTTTCTGAATAGGCCCAATGTAATCACAAGGGTCCCTGAAGGCATAAAGTAGGAGAATTAGAGAAAGAAGGAGATGTGAGGATAGGAGCACAGAGAGACAAGGAGACTGGGTGGGGGTGAGGAGAGACTGATTGATGCTTCAAGAGGAAGGGGCCAGGACCCAAGGAGTGCAAGTAGTTCCTAAGAAGGTGGCAAAGACAAGGAAGTGGATTTTCCATGAGAGTTGTCAGAAAGAACATGTTCCTAACCTCCAGAACGGTAAGAGAGTAACTATGCATTAGTCTAAGCCAGAGTTTGTGATAATTTGTTACAGCAGCAATAGGAAACCAACACAGACTGCATTCCCTACAGGGCCAAGCATACTTCAAATCAAAATCCACCCAGCACAGGGGGAGAGACAGACAAATCCCCTTCGATGGCGTACCATTGTGAGAAAGCATTGCACATCTGGGCTTTAACACAAATTCTGTTTTGTTCAAATTTTGTTGTTAAATATTCAGAAGGGAAAGAGACATGGCCCCCTTCAGAAGAGAATGTCAGCGGTTTGCATTTATAGAAAGCCAGACTGTAAAACAGGATGGTATGAAATCTCTTTGCAAAATTTGAAGTGATAGACATATGTCCTGGATTATTATCAATATGAATTTTAAAAACCCAGAACCGAGTTCCCAAAGTGACACTCTGCAGGGTGTTCCACCATCCTCTCACCTTTGGGAGCAGAAAGAGCAAGGGGAAGCTGGCAGCTGAAGCAGAGAGGAGACCTAACCTCACTGAGAACTGGGATTGTCTCAAAGCCGGTCACATAGGACGATGAAGCGTGAATCACTGAACAAATGTGCAACACAGAAAAACCACAAAATAAGCCTAGAGACAGAATGCTAATAGTCAGGCAAATAAGAGAAGATGAGTATTTGAATATTCATGAGCCTCTAATCAGGAACTGTAGATGAATTCAGAAATAGTCCCATTGGTGATAATGTGCTCCATGAGAAGGAAAATCCTGCTGGAGAAAGTACAAACAGTGTGGATCAGACCTGTTCTACTCTGGGCCTCCTGGGACATCAGCCTGGGTCTTCATATGCTGGTCCCACAATCTAGTTTCTTTCTTCATCTGTCACTCAGCATAGTGTATTTGGTTTTTCCTTACCATAGGAAGTTTATGCTTTCAGCACTGGAAAGGAGGTGAATGGCAGAATACTAATATGCTTGGATCATCTTCCACAGGCCAGGCCTGGGCTGCTCATTCTGTGCATACCTCTATCTCACAGCCATCCTTTCATGCGGATGAAATTATTCCATTTTCCAGGTGAGGAAACTTAGGTTCAGGAAAACTATTTACTGTCTGTGTCAGAAAGTCGCTAAATGATGGAGCTTTGATTTGAACAGCCTCTCA